TACGCTTTTTGTCTCCGATCTGCACATCATTCTTATCTATGAAGGGAAGGGAAGCTTATTTATCATGCTTTGTTACTAGTGTGAAGAAATCAGTTATATTTTATAATTTACAAATTAATTAGATAACACAAAAAGAAATTGATAGGATAACTGGGAACATGATTCAGGCACTGAGCACATGCTTAGATTACGGGAGATCTTGGGTCTGGATCTATAGTTCAATGGCAGAATGCTTACCTAGCAAGAGTGAATCTCTAGGTTCAAACAGCAGTTTATATATTTAAAAAAAGTTGTGATTTATTTGTATTTTACTATTTTTTTTCCAAATAGATTTAAGAAAATAAAGAGCATATACTGTAGGGTTAAGACAGCCCCTTTAGGGGGCGGGGTTTGCCTCGGGCGAATGCCTGCCAATAAATGGGCACGCAGAGAGGCGGAGAGGCCCTTTTTCCTTCCTACCTCCAGTGCCACGCGGGAACTTTGGTTCTGTAAGTTTATCATTAAAGTGTGAATATTGTTTAGTATCTGCATTGCATTTATTTACGCCGATACAATATACAAAGTCCAACTTTGCATGTTGCACCTTAGGCGAAATACTGAGAAGAAAATTCAGTAGCATTTCTGTGATTTTAACAAAGTGAGCTGGGACTGGAGAGATGGCTCAGTGGTTAAGAGCATTGCCTGCTCTTCCAAAGGTTCTTGAGTTCAATTCCCAGCAACCACATGGTGGCTCATAACCATCTGTAATGAGGCCTGGTGCCCTCTTCTGGCCTACAGGTAGACACACAGACAGACTATTTTATACATAATAACTAAATATTAAAAAAATAAAAAAACAATGTGAACTATAAAATAAATTCCATTTGAACTACTCATTTGAAGTAACAGTTCAAAGTTTAACTAGACTCTCGCTATTAAGCCAAACTTTGTCCATTTATTTTAATTCTAATACTTTAATGAGCGAGTAAAATACCACTTAATGAAAAAGGAATAGAAGACATATTCAGGCAAACAAACGCTAAAGGTTAGCAGCAGACAGGCCATTAGAATAAGAACCTTTAAAATCATACAGCAAGAGGGAGTGAAACTGGAGGTAGGCAGGGAGACTGAGACAAAGAGATTTTGGAAAATAAACAGAAATTGATGAGATGGAAATAAGATAATCTGAGTTTAAAGTAAACTAAAGAATTAGAAGGTAAAAAGTTTGGCACAGGTGTTTTTAATCAAGCAACTAAGAACCAATTGCAGGGAAAAGATGGAGATGTTGTTGAAATTAGAGAAATTTATTTATCTCCAAATTATTAGAGAAATTTATTTATCTCCAAATTACCAGGGCAGTAAAAAACAATAAAGGCAAGTTGACCAAGCTCTAGGAGGATGAGGGTATAAAATGGAGGTTATCTCAAGGACACACAGAGTAAGTCAGTAGTAAGCATACTAAACAGAAGGAGGCTTAATTTTCTAGTTCAGAGAGTGAGACAGGCAGATCAGACGTCAAAATGCAAATTCAACTATTCAGTATTTAATGCCTCAACTTTAAGAACTCGGGAAGTAGGAAAGATTAAAGAGCATAAGTTCCAGGAGGTGGATATGCACACAGAGACCCAGGCATGGTGACTGACTGGGTAAACCAGGTGGCTTTCCTTGGTTGAGCATACACAGGGTCCAGCTTCTTTCATCTGCTCTGAAATTAATTAGTTTGGAGTCAAGCTTTTTAAAACCAAGAAAGTGTAGCAGAAGTGATTTGAGATCGGATCCAAGCTGTTCCCAAACTCTTCCATATGATTTCTGTCATTGTTTTGTTTGTTGGTTTGACACTCTAGATCAGGATCTGAGATGTCTGAGATGGTAGAACCTACAACAAACAATTGGAAACCCTGGCCACTGCTTGGAAAAGAGAAGCACCCCTCACCCCAGTCCATCCGCTGTTCCTAGGACTTCTCATGATTGGCAAACACTGTCATTTTGCCACTGGTCACAGTGGTGAGCAGTTACCTCCCTCTCCAATGCTGAAGAGTATCTGGAAAGTGGCTGTTGTACCGCACTGCTGCAGCACACCAGATCCGGGAAGAAATACTAAAAGCCTTATTCTTACTTGTTTTGTATGTGTGTAGTGTATGTACATGTTTCTTGGTGTACATGTACTTGTGAGTATACATGCAAGTTCACATATGTGAATGAGTGGACACCAGAGGTTGACATTGGGTATCTTCCTGAACCACCCTGCTCCGTATTTTTTGAGATATTTATTATTTATTAGGTATACAGTGTTCTGCCTGCATGTATGCTTGCACACCAGAAGAGGGTACTAGATCTCATGGCAGATGAGCCACCATGTGGTTGCTGGGAATTGAACTCAGGACCTCTGGAAGAGCAGCCAATGCTCTTAACCTCTGCGTCATCTCTCCAGCCCTGAGACAAGAAGACAAGGTCCTTTAGTGAGCTTGAACTCACTGATCTAACTGAACTGGCTGCTTGTAAGATCGAGGGATCCATCAGTGCCAACACCACCTCATCCAAGCACTGGAATTGTGGGAACATGCCCCCTAAGCTCAGCTTTTCATGTGGATGCTAGTGATCTGAATCCAGAGCATCAAGTTTGCATAGTGGGCACTTCCCCATCCGGGCCATTTCCCCAGCCCCCCAATACTAGAAGCCTGAAGACAGTTCTCGGCAGCGGAAATCATTTGGTAGAAATGTTAGTCTGGTAACTTGAGAGATAATCATCACTAACTTGGGGCAAGTCTGAAACTGTACAGTCATATACCTTGTCAGAACATTTGTTTTATGAGTGGAGTCAGGGAATTCAAGAAGATGGTTCAAAGTATGCAGGGAGGGTCCTAAGGTGTGGCACACCCCAATTACTGAGATGTAAAACTACTTACCAAAAAAGAACAAAAACAGAAAGATGAGGAAAATGTCTCAGCTGTATGAAGTAACTGAAGACAAAGATTCTGTTGAAGGCCTAGTTTTATACACCTCAGGGTTGGTGGTCAGTAAGCCAGAAATTGGAGAAGTGGAAACAGGAAAGCAAGATCCAAAGGCGAGTTTGAGCCCCATGCTTTAAGGGACCTATAGGGGCATTTTATGTCAGAAAGAACTGTCTGAGGCTAAACAAAGAGAATTATATTAGCAAATTGCTCAATAAATTGCATAGGAAATAAACTGAAGACATTACAAGATGAAAACTAGAGTCTTTAAAATAAAATAAAATCATGTGGGTATTCTGGGCCAACCCTACCATCTGCATTTCCAGTCATTTAGACATAAAAACTGAGAATAACTACCAAAACAACAGATCCAAGATTGGGAAAATAATAGTAAGTATATGTCTCTAAATTCCTATGAATAAGAGTGGAAGAAAGCCCTGGGACCATCCCAAGAGCCTGGAGCATAAGGCTGTGCAGAGCAAGGGTAGTGGGTCCTCACAGAGAAATGGAGTGTTCCTGCCTCACCTCCAGGGAAGGAGTCTGCACAAGCACTCCTGGAGAGATTACAGGAGTTTGGAATATGACTTCTCCACTGCTCAGAAAGGGAAAAATTAGCGTAGGATAATAATCCTATCTCTTGAAAGGGGAATTTGTAGGATTGGGATGGCTTGCAGGCCCTGCTCCTAAGTGTGGTGATGAGACAGACTCTTCTATCTGATAGACGATCTTGGCTGTCAGTTGTGTGGGGTGTGCAAGTATATCTGTATGTATATATACACATATATATTAGATTATATATTATATATTTGATGTATGTAACTTAAACACAGTATCTATTTTAAAAGATGAAAATGAAGTAGCACATGGCTAAACACACGACAAATCCATTTCCTCTTCAACGACACACAACAATGGGGTTGAAACTCAAGCTTGGCTACTAACCTCCCCAACAGTACATGTGTCTTCCTTTCTGTCTTCTTGGTCTGCAGGCATAATGCAGATTCTGATATTGTAGAAAGAACCTCCAGAAAAAGAATGTGAATTCTCCTTTAAGGTAGGCTTCTCAGCATGTGCATAGCATCAACATCTCAAGGGTGCAGATGTATTAATTCCTTATTAGATTTGAATATGTTTGTTTCTATGATACAACATAGCTAACCACTACAGAAAAATAGTATATATATTGTATATAATTACAATATAATATATCAAACAAAATAGTCTTAAGGCAAGAAGCTTTGATAGCTACAAAGATTTTGAATAAAAGTAACACCATCAGCAAAGTATAATAATAACTATAAAATTTATATATGCTACAAAATGATTGTAATAAAATTTAAAGTAATCATTAAAATTACATATATTCATACAAAAGTTTCCCAAAGATAAGACAATTTGTACAATAAAATTAACAAATCCAATCAATTGGCATCCATAGTTAGAAACACTCTATTTTCTGAACATTTTCAAAACACTGATAGTGTAAATGATTCTAAAGGGAAGTACACATACAACTGAGTTAATAATCAAAAACCATCAAAAACACATCCCAAATACAAATTCTGTAATCATTTGGACTACGTTTTCAATAAAAACCATGGAAATATGTTAAATGGTGACACAGCGAGTGTTAAAATGTAGTGTTACAAAAATGATAGGCTGAAGCACAAATGCATGCACACACACTTTTCACACATACACAGAATACATGTACAAACATACACACATACACATTTATATACAGGCACAGATATACATACATAAACTCATAAACGCATGGACATACACCTACATACATGCAAGCATACACATATGTACAAATGCACACACACCTATATACATGCAAGCAGACACATACATACAAATGCACAGACACACACATACACACACACATACATAGAAATAAACCCACATACATACAAGCAGATATACCCATGCATGAACATAAATGAAGACAAAGAAAGGCACACATGGAATATTGATATTTAGCAAAAAAACAGTGGTGTGGGACAGAAAAGCAGTGAAGAATGCAGATTAAGACATGAGACCAGTGAATGAGCTTGACTAGGAATAAAGAGGCTCAGTCCTCACCACTGGCTTTTCACTCCAGCTCACAGATCTCCTCTGAGAAGCCCCAGGGTTCTGAAACCAACGTGAAAGGAGTCAGGAAGAAGTAAAGCTCACGTGAACAGACCAAGAACGTCAGCTGCTCACCAGGAAAAACAACTCCCAATACGATGCCTTTAAACATTTTATCCTTTAATTTAAAAAGGTGTGTGTGTGTGTGTGTGTGTGTGTGTGCAAGCGCGCTTGCTTGTGCATTGGTAGAATGTTTGCCTCGCATGCACAAACCTTGAATTTGATACACAGAACATCAATAACCAGGTGTTGTAGTACACACCTGCAATTTCAACCCTCAGGGCTTGAAGATCCCAGGTTTACCACATCGCCTTAGACCACAGACTGAACTTGAGGCCAGCCTAGGCTACATAAAATCCTGCCTTAACACCAAACCGAGCAACATTGGAAGGAACAATATCATCTGTTATTTTTCAAAATTCAATACCATTTTTCCCCTTTTTTAAATTAAAAAAAAACAAACAAACAGGCAAACATCACAACAACAAAAAACCAAAATGGAGACAAAAGTGCAGGTAGCCCGGGTTGGCCTCCAACTCTTTATATAACCGAACCCTAAATTCCTGATGCTCTTGATCCTGCCGACTGAGTTCTGGGATTCTAGGTGCACACTGTACATGTTTTCTGCTGTGCTCAGGATAAGAACCAGGGCTCCCATCATGTCAGGCAGGTACATTGTCTATCAACTGAATTACAGCCAGGTGTTTCTGTTTCCACTTCTTAAACTGTTATAGGAACCAGACCCCACTGACTTTTCCTTATACATTATTTGTTTTCATTTTTTTGTTGTTGTTGCTTGTTTATTTAGTTTTTGTTTTGTCTTTTGAGACAGGATTTCTCCATGTAAAACAGTCCTAAGCTGTCCTGGAACTAGCTCTTGTAGACCAGGCTGGCCTCAAACTCACAAAGATCTGCCTGTCTCTGCCTCCTGAGTGCTGGGATTAAAGGCGTGCGCTACTACCTCCCAGCTTTTGTTCTCACTTCTTAAGAAATGAAAATGAGGGTTGTATTAATTTTTCAGGAGATCATACTGGATACCTGTGGATCAAACCTAAATTTTTAATTACAAAAAAGTTTGAGAATTTCATACATGGCAACCATGTTTGCATAATCTATTTGCTTAAACCACCACCCAGTGAGGAACTTAATTAAGACATATTTGATAACTCCCTCTTCAGACATGCTTAACACCACATTCAACAGTCTTGGTATATTTCTGAAGATTTTTAAGTATCATTCTAAGAATTTCAAAATTTCATGCTCCCATTTCTTCATATTTATCTACTTTTTACTCCATAAGTACGTCAGTCTTGATTTTTAAGTTCACTCACGCACTTTACAGATGACTGTGAAGACCAGGTGTCATTGCTCATTGTCCGAAGCACACCTACCTCATTTCCAGAACACACTTGTCTAACATTCCTTCCCATTATCCATTACTTCGGTAGTAAATTACCCATCCCTAAGTTACTTGTCATTTTATTTCAGGATCCTATAACCACACTGATGAATATCTTGCATATCACCATAGAACCTTCATCGGGCGATGGATGGAGATAGAGACAGAGACCCATATTGGAGCACTGGGATAAGCTCCCAAGGTCCCAATGAGGAGCAGAAGGAGGGAGAACATGAGCAAGGAAGTCGGGACCATGAGGGGTGCACCTACCCACTGAGGCAGAGGGGCTGATCTATTGGGAGCTCACCAAGGCCAGCTGGACTGGAACTGAAAAAGCATGGGATAAAACCGGACTCTCTGAACAATGAGGACTGATGAGAAGCCAAAGACAATGGCACTGGGTTTTGATCCTACTTCATGTTCTGGCTTTGTGGGAGCCTAGCCAGTTTGGATGCTCACCTTCCTAGACCTAGATGGAGAGGGGAGGACTTTGGACTTTCCACCTGACTGCTCTTCGGTCTGGAGAGGGAGGGGGAAAGGAGTGGGGGGAGGGGGAGTGGAGTGGGAGGAAGGGGAGGGAAATGGGAGGATGGGAGGAAGCGGAAAATTTTTTTCCCAAGAAAAAATAAAAAAAACTAATTTATATGAAATTTATCAAAGATACATCTGCAGGAAGCATACCTCTTTGTTCTTGGAATAATGATTTAGGCCAAAAGGGCCTGTATAAAAAGTGCTTGTTAGGAATTTGCATTTCCTCAGTTTTTGAGCTTTTGTTGTGAAATTCCAAATGGCGGCAGCAGAGCAACCAGAGCACTGAAAAAGATGCTGCAAAATTGCTGTGTCACAACCCAGGGGAAAAAAAAAAAAAAAAACGATTGGCTATGTGTTCTTACAATGTACTACGCAGAGACGGAGGTGGGGGAGGAGGGGCAAGATTTTCTGAAATAATTTTAATCCTTTTGTTCTGTGACTTGTACAAAATGAAATAAAGGAGGAAATTTATTTCATTTCATCAAGCAAAACACAAAACAGTGATAAATGGGTGTGTATGGAAAGCCACAAGGCTTTGGGGGATTACAAAGTGGTAAGCAAAAATTAAAAGTAAACAACAACAATATTCAGTCGTTATATAACAGATTGACTTATAATGGAAATAAGATTTATAATGGAAATAAACGGAACCGTTTATAAAGTAGAGGCAATTGACGTAATCATCCGACTCTGAATGAACTCATGGCATATGCTCCTGCCCACACACACACACATCACCAAGTAGTCCTGGTACACCAGGACTCACGAGAAGCGACTGTTTTTTTAAAAGCCTTTCCGTACAGGGAATTTGAACTCTCCAAAGGATTTAAGGACTTACAGGGGCTTGTAGGTCAGACACGTCGTTTCTGAAACAAAATACTTTTTCCTCTTTCTACCTGTAGTAACCCCCCCCCCCGCCCCCAGTTTCTCCATCTTAAAACAAGATTATCCCTGTTTGATTAGCCTCAGCAGGGGCCTTTGTGTTGATCTCAGCAGACGGAACCCACCAGCCGCATTCTTTTGTGAAAGAACAAGAGCCACGAAATCTGCATTAGCGTGCTTATTCCTATGGCTGCTCCATGCGGACACCTGTGGAAGAAGCGCCTCTAAGCTGAGAGCCACTTCCTTTCCAAGATGGAGTGTGGCTTTCCCTGAGGCAAGACTCAGGCTTTCTCAGAGGCAGGTACACCCTTGTGCGGCAAGCATTTGATATTTTAGGCATAGATCACAGCGACAGACAGAGTTTAGCATTTCTTCCCCCGAATCTTATTTGAAAACAGTTAGTCTGAACTGTTCTGGAGGGAAGGAGTAAATGAGACCTACGCAAATCTGAAACGAAGACAAGCTGAGAAGCGGGGACTGGAGGGGAATGAACCGGTGGGAGAATTTGCACATCTTTAACGCAGAGCTTACAGGAAGAGGTGGGGAGGAAAAGCAGCTTCTATGTATCCCCCACCCCCCACCCCAAGCCTCCTTCACACGAATGAGAAAATTTCATATAATGAGAAAGAAACAAGCTCCAAACCTGTATTCCTATGTCCTTAGATCTTACCTGGGAGTAGACAAGGTTTTGCCAGTGCTGTGGAGCAGGAAAATTTCCACCGGGAAATCTCGCGAGGCTAGCCTGCAGAAGGGTCGAGTTCCTCATTAAAGACTTCACGTCAAGCTGCAGGAATTTGTCAGGATGGTTGTTATTGGGCAAAACAGAAAGGTCCATGTCCCCTTTCGTCTGCGTTGGAAACAAAGCGAGCGAAGCTGGCCCTGTCAGAGGCCTCCATTATTAATGAGCCCGAAGATGCTCTGGCTGGCATTTGAAACCAGGTCTCTTGTCTGCACACAAAAGCCACCCTCTAAAGGCCACGTCAGTCCACAGGAACAAAACAAGAAAGCAGCAAAGGGCCCTCCTTCCTACCTTACAACACACACATGCACGCACGCATATGATGCTTAAATTGCATTAAAAGGGTTCATCAATTCAAATTAATAAATTGAGAAAATTAGATATGGGTTGCACTTATTACCGCCCCCCATTCAGAGTCCTCCAAGGCTATTTTGTATATTAAAGCTGCCACAGTCATAATCTTTGTATATTAAAGCCCATCATTTGCAGCCTAGCACAATCACCGGGAAGAGCTCCACTGAGTTTGTTTTCTGTATTACTGCATTAAGGCAGCTGCTCTGGCCCTGGCCCTACTTCCTCAGCTTCTCAGGTGATAAGCCCCATCTCATTCCTTCTCAGGTTTTGAATCCCAATCTCAAGCTCATGTAGACTTAACTGGTTTGAGTTTGGCAGCTTGTTCTAAGTGTGAAAATAGCAGGCATGTATCTTGTGGATTGTGGTAGTAAGTAAGGTCCTAACGCACTGCCGTGACCCCTCCATATCCAGGGTCCTTTGATTCTACCCCTAGCTATATCAATACCTGTGAAATTCAGCGATCCCAGGGCACATTTGGAACCTGAGGGTAACCAGGCTGCTGACTTCATAGGATGGGCTGTGTTGTAAGTGAACCCATCTGTTGTTAAGACAGCCAAGGTCAGGCTGACTTTATGGCCTGCCTGGTTAGCCAACAACTGATGAATTTAATATAAGCATGCTCTCTATGCACAGGACACTCTAAATGGCCTACTCCCCCACCTAGAAAGGATGGGGTTTTCATCTGGAGAGAGCAGCATTCCCTCTTGCAAGACTGGTTAAGGGTAGATATATATCAAGGGCTTCTAACAGACTACAATTGTTTGTTTTTTCACCAACTCTATGAACCCTTCTGATGTAGTAGGAAAGCTTCTCTTCCAGAGGCAGTGTAGTTACATGTAGAATGTTTCAGGAATAGAAACATTCAGAAGGGTTCCATATAGCTTACAAGAATAAGGATGTTCTTAAATCAAGCCAGACACTGGAGAGCACTTACCTTCTTTATGCAAAAGAAAAAAAAAATACGAGAGTATGTGATTTGACAAAAACCTGACCCACTTAGAGTCATAAACTCAATTAACAAATTGACATTTTCTACATGAATACTTTGTACATGAAGTTTATAATGACTGATATAACTTACACATAGTTATAGCACCTATTTTCTAGAGAAAGCAATAGGCACTAACAACAAGAGTTAATAACAAAACAATCGAACCACTAATGTTTCAAGAACCAAGTTTATTATGTGCTTATCGTGTGCTTGATACAGCCTGGCTGCTGCCAAAACATATCTAATGAGCAAGTGTTTCTCAGACCGCTCTTCCCAGAGTATTCCTTGGGGGGAAATACACATCTTTGAGAAGAGCCTAACTTGCCTTTGGCTCTCTGTGTTGGCAAGCGGAGACACAGAACTTACATCCAAATAGATTTGATTAGACCCTTCCCTTAGCCAAAGTATGACATAGGTGAAGTGAGGATTTGGTTCTCCTTAGGCTTCTTCCAGGTTTCTCTGTCTTGCTCTATACACGGGAGGTTTGTGTGCTGTCTCTTCCTTTGCTAATTTAGTCTTTCCGCATATTCTGTCTTTACCCTGAAACCCACCACTTAGCATTTCTTACCACTATTCTCGAAGCCCATATGGTGTAAACAGGAAAACTATCCCCTCCCCACCTACTGATTCTTCACACCATCACCCCAACCTGACACTCTGCTCGCATCCAAGAGTTCTCTTCTCTTTCCTGCCTCTTGCATGCCTATGAATCATCTGAGTGACACTGAGCCTTCCAGAAAATCCTTACAGGCTCCTTAGCAAATATGACTTTCCCTCCTTTGAAACTTGATTTTCACCTTTGTCTGCTTGATAATGTATTTCATAATTTTATTTTAAAAGTCTCTTGTGGTGGTTAATATTGATTGCTAATTTGACAGTCTTCAGAATCCCATAGGAGACAATCCCTTGGGGACGCCTATGAGATATGATCTAGATTCAGTTACTAAAGGAAGATCCCCTCTTGACTGTGGGTGAGGCATTCCAGGGTGACTGCAAAGAAGAAAATTAATTGAGCACCGTCATTTATCTCTCTCTGCTCCCTGACAATCAATTCAGTCTGACCAAATGCCTCGAACTCCCATCCACCATCAGAGTCTCTTCATAATGATCTGTACCCTGAAACTGTGAAACAAAATAAACCCTTTCTTTCTTGTTGTGGAGTCTAATATTTTATGACAGCAACAGAACAAGTAATTAACAGAAAATTGGTGGCAAATGTGAGGTTGTTGTTGCGATCAACCTGATCTCAGGCCTTCGGAATTGGTTTGCCTCGGAAGATGAAAGGCTTTGGAACTGTAAGCAGGGAAGAGCTTGGAACACAAGGTGGAGGCCCAGCTCATGAGGGTATAGAGGGGAATGGGAATTCTAAGAAACACTTAGACTAGATGATAGTCAGACAATATCTGGCAAAGAATCTGGCTTCCCCAGTCCTGAGAACTCATGTAAGAGTTCCATTCTTATACCTGTAGGCACCCAGTTCTTCCAGTATCGTGTCTTGAAGATGCTATTTTCTAGTGTGTATTTGTGGCGTATTTTGTGAAATATGTGGTGGCTGTAGTTACGTGTATTCATGTGTAGGTCTTCTACTTTGTTCTAGTCTACAAGCTTGTTTCTGTTCCAGTATCATGCTGTTTTATATTAGTTTAGCTATGCCATACAGCTTGAAATCTGGGACAGTGATCCCTCCAGCATTGCCTTTTTTGATCAGTGTTACTTTGGCTGTCTGGAGACTTTTGGTTCTATATGAATTTTATGGTTAATGTAAAGAATGCCTTAGGGATTTGATTGGGATGTGAATGAATCTGTAGATTTCTATTGGTAGAATGGACATTTTCACAGTATTAATCCTGACACTCCAGAAGGGTGAGAGGTCTTTCTGTTTCTAGTGTCTCCTCCAATCTCTTTATTTAGAGATTTTAAGTTTTCATTGTAGAGGATTTTTACCCACTTGATTGGGTTTATTCCTACATACTTTTTGAGGCTATTATGAATGGAAGTGTTTGCATGATTTGCTACTCAGGCTACAGGCTTCTATTAGTTGATTTTGAATCTTGTCACTTTCTTTGTGAAACTAAAAACTTCATGAAACTGCTTCTGAATTGGATCATGGAATTTAAGGTAACTGAAATCTGTATTCCCAGGCCTTGACCATTCATATGTGTATCTGGAATAAGCTATCTCTTATCCCCTTTAAGATGAGAACTGTGTTGTTGGTTTTTGTTTGTTTTTGTTTGTATCAACAGTAATATAGAGAGGGTCAGCTGATTTTCTGAACATGCAGTGGGCTGCACTGTAAAAGGGACCTCGGTTTTAGGGAACATGAACAGTTAATGTCTCAAATACACACACGTTCCTCTTGCTCCAGAAAGAGACCCTCTGTCTCCCTGTGGTCCACTCTGCTTGCTTCCTGCAGTAGATTCTTCAGAACAGAGGCAAATAGCACCTCTTCCTGCCAAGTGTGGAGATGTGGACAGCCCTGTGAAGAACTCTCTCCCCAAACGAAGTTTCACATATTTTGCTAGAAAAACAAAAAACAAAAGAACCGTGCGAATCATTTACAATATTTTATTACAAGAAAAAAATTAAGATGTCTTTTGAATGTTTCAGAGAGTTATAATTTTTATTTTTAAAGGAAAAATACAACGGAACTATCAAAATATTATTTGAATCTCATTTCCTTTTCCTTATTCCTAGGGAAAAGAAGAACAAATATTCACTACCTTCGCTCACATGATTGGTGAGCCTAAGTAGTCTGCTCAACAATACATCTTCTACGGGGTGTAAGGATGTAGGTGGACCAACGTTTTCTTTATTGGAAATGTTTTTAAAAAGCTACACTCTAATGGCATGTTAAAAGAAGACAGGTTTTTGTAGGATGCTGCCACTTCTGTCACAGTTTCTCTGCACCCACACCAACAGTGCAATGGTGATTCAGTGTACATCTTTACAGTGCTTCATGGTCACAATACTTGTGTTCAAGTGCATGTTCGCGAACATGATCCAAGTCTCTGTCTTGACTTTTCCACTATTAGCATAAAAGTATCATTACAGTAGACGGTCTCCTATACTTGCCTCTAAATCTGAATCAAGTTCAGAATACATTCTCTTAAGATTGTTCAAGACTGTGAGGTTTGTTCTGTTTACACATCTCCTGCGGATTACAGAAAATGGGCAGGTTCTGCAGCAGGACACAAGAAAATAGGTCATTTTCTGCACATATAGCTAAGCTATCATGCCAAGGTAGTGTACACACTGATAACTTAATGGCATTGGTGGAGAGAAAATAGCACCTTTCAGACAGCCCTAAATGAAAAAAAAATGATCATTTCTTTTTATTAGTGTACTAGACCCAACTTATTCAATTCAAATAAAATTATTTATGAAACCTTATAGTAAAAACAATCAAAATGTTTGAATAACCAAAAACAAACACCACATTAGATGTTTGGCAGGCAAATAAATTAATTTGATTAAATTATATGTAATCTGATAATATTTGGTCTGAAAAACATGCTAGTGTGTGTGTATTTATAAATAATGTAATAGCAAAAAGCTACGAGCCAGTTGGCCAGCCCGCCAGAGGTCAACTCTTCTGTTGCAGCTTCTGGGCATAGAAGTCCCGGCAGGTCTCACAGCAGCGCTGGTACCACCGCATGTCCTGGCACAGGTTCTTCTCCCGGATCACTCTGCAGTACACTGGCCACTGGTCTCCCAGGCACTTGAAGGTCAGGGCAGCTGGGAAACAGAACAAGGTGAATTCACCCTGGGAAGGCTCCTAGGTGCCGTCAGTAGGAACAATTTTTACTATTTTTTGTGGATTAATTTGTCTCATTTTTTTTAACGTGTGTATCTTGCCTGACAGAACATACAAGACAAAGAGTGCC